TCATAGCCACAGCTCCTCCGCACACACGCACTCCTCTTCAGCCGCACTCGCTCCGAAACTCCACACACGCTGCCACACCCGGGCAGGTCCTGTGATTTGGTCCAGAAGAGGGATAACTACACACAGAATTTCAACGTTAGTTCCACAGCAAAATACACACAGGGGATTCCTTGGATAATGCCGGGAGCACGAACTCAGGAGGTTCAACGTTCCAGCGGTGAGCTGCTCTGTGCCACTGCCTTAATTAGCAGCTGGGGAAATCAGCCAGATCAACAGCAGGTGGAGACAATCACACAGGTGCGTGTGCCAAGATTGTAGATATTTAGTAAAGGTGATCACAAGGGAATCCCACCGAGTAAAAAGCTATCAGTGCTGCTGTACATCTGATGCTACAATTACATACCTGTGGGTGCAGCAGCAGGAGCTGAGGGACTGGGGAGCCAGGAGAAGCAACAGGGGATGCTCTGCTGCAGAATCAGTCGATTGTATCAATACAGTATTAAATGTTAACAGGTTGAAAACAATAGTCATAGAGAAAGTATATACAGTGGTCCCTCATTTATTGCAGCAGTGGGTCTCAGAATAACTAGCTCCTCGCCACGCACTTTATACACTTTTTCCCCCCACACACATGAACATTAGTCACAGTTCTCACATTTGATTCTCAAAGTACAAACCTTTGCAGATTGCAAAACAGTATTATTAAGTATTATTATGCTGCGTTTTGTCTTCATCTGCCTGCCACTTTCGTGCACCTTTTTCCCTCGCGGTGCAGGTGTCTATTTCCGAATGAAGGTCATAGTTATGGGTGTTTTTGTGCTGTTATTCTATTGGACGTGATGGTTATCAAAACCAAACATGATAAATTTGGCAAGCGCAGGAGACACAGCACGGAGATTTGTCAATCAGGCTGCAGAATGCAATGATGTACTGTGCAATAAAAAAATCAGCGAAAAAGCGAAGCAGTGACGGATGAACAGCGTGACCACTGTGTGTAAATCTCTGTTTTACTCGTCCACACCTAGAGGTGACTCATCAGCCGTTTACATGTGGACGAAAGGCCCAAACACATAGAAAAATATGCATTTTCAAAAATACCCGTGTACGTGTGGATGAAGCCTGAGTTTGAGGACAATTTATTCCTCCCGCTGCCTCAGCAGAGCAACAAATATCATCATAGACAGTTCCCATCCTGTTTTTAACTTGTTCAGCCTGCTTCCGTCAGGGAAGCGCTACAGGTGCCCCCAAAGCCATAACCACCCTTAACTCGTACACACACACCAATAACACAGTCCCACACAGCCATTTTCCCATTTCCCTTTATAAACCACCACTGTGCAATACTAAATTCTATGCGCAATAACCCAAACTGTATATACAAAACAAACTATTTATTTACATATTTACTTTTTTCTTCTTACACCAGATTGTATATTTGTACATTTTTATACATTTTATATATGTAGCGCAGCAGAACTGTGCCCCCCCTAACCCTCCCCCCCTACATGTTTGCACTGAGTTGGAGATGCTCTGTATCTTATTTAACAAATGTCTATTCTAAATAATAAAGGTTGAGTTTAAGGACAAAGTGACTGAAATGAACCCAGAACTGAACTGTGTATTTTTGCATTGTATTATATCCTAGGAGGCATTGTGTAACTCAATACTAAAAAATAACTTTGTAGTTGATGTTGTCACTAAGTAGCTCTACAGTATAGTGGATTACACATTTGCCTAAGTAGTGAACAAACCTTGGTGGCTGTGTCAGGAAGCTGTAAACCTGCCGTAGTGACCACTTGTGAGCAAGGAAGTAGTTTGTTAATGTTGTGAATAGTTCCCTTCATTAGGGCAAGAGCACTGAATCACAAACAGTTTGTTGCACTTTTGGAGGAGTGTAAGACTGAACATGCTAACACAGGATGCTACACAGGTGTCAGGTGCTCAGCTGGGACAAAGTGCTGAAAAGAGTGTCACTGCAGTTTGTTTGTTAGTCCTTTTTGACTCGACCTTCATAAGTGAACAAACATAAACAAAAACTAGTTAGAGATCCTCTCTCACAATTAGTCCACTATCCTTTGCATTTCCACCTCAGACACTGAATTTGAATGTTGATAAATAGTAATAACATTTTTGCATTTTCATTCCAATTCCAATTTCATTTTGTTTTTAATTTCATAACCCTCACTCCTGTGTCCTGGTCATTTGTCAGCACTAATACTACCCCACTGACAACTGTGCTACAATTTTCGATTGCTTCTCAGGTGGAGTCCAGTGTCCAAACATCAGTGCTCTGCAGGAGGTGAGAAGGTGCAATGACCATCCCTGTACTGTCTACCACTGGCAAACTGGTCCATGGGGACAATGCATCGAAGACTCTTTCATTCCATCAACCAACACATCTGTGGGCCGTACTCGTGGAGATGATGTCTCCTGTTCTGTGGGGATGCAAACCCGCAAAGTCATTTGTGTCCGGGTGAATGTGGGCCAGGTTCCTCCCAAAAAGTAAGAAAACCTAATCAGCATGTTTTGGCATATGACCGAATACTCTATTGCACGTCTTGTGAAGTTGAAAGGGCATGAAACTGTCCCAGTTCATTACCAGTACAAAAACTGAACAAAAATATCTATCCATATAAAATTATTCTGGGACTTTTTCACCTTCTGTCTTATTTTTATGTTTTGACTGTCTGTTCTGTCACTTGTGATAACATTGTATGCACACATCAATGCAACTGGATTGTGTGAACTGATATTTTAAATAAATATGCTTTTCTGATTTATCTCCAGATGAAATGGATAGATGAGTCTGGCTAAATTGTTCAACATGTAAAACAAACAATGTCAGACAATGTTTAAAGATAGATGTGAGGGCGGGGCTCACCGGTGTGTTTGTGAACTGGACCCAAAAGCAGACGCTGAGAGAGGAACTGCACATTTTCAACAAAAAATGAGCCTTTATTATGGCTGATTGTCATGAACAAAAACTAGGAAAGGCGAACAGGGCAAGTGCGAACTGAAAAACATAAACTGGAAAACTACAAAAACTGTGACGAGACTGATGACTGACGAGACTTGGAGGAAAACCAGATGACGTGACAACGAACAAAGGAAGACAGGACTTAAATACACAGGAGGTGATCAGGGGAAGCTCAATGCAGTAGTGATGGGATTCATAATTAACTCGTTTGGTGCTCACAAACGTCTTTTGACGAAATGTCAGGGAACTTGACAAGTATTGGAAGCACCTAAAAATAATGTGACCCTTCTTATTATAATATTGCGCCAATCTGATTGCACTTGATGCAATTTTTATTGCATCATCCTGGTAGTCAGTGGAGCTTGAAAAGAACAGGACTTCAAGTTTCCTGAAGACATTTTACCTCTCAATTTGCAAAAAATAAATAATAAAGACTCAACAGCACTAAGTCCTGTTGCTTTTAAATCTGTTTTCACCTGTTTAGCAGGAGTGGAGCAGGTGGAGGTTTGCCTGGTGCCGCAGCAGTCATGTCAGTGGGCGGGATCCGGGGGTTTCTCTGTGAATGTCACGTTCCCGTGGCAGCATGCTTGGTGCTCGCTCAGATTTGAAATTTAATTTTTCACTGTAGAAAGAGGTTTTCTTCCCACACAGAGTGAACAGCCAACACTAATGTTTTTGTCACTTTTTAAAACTCAAAGTAATGTGAGTACTTCCAAGCTTTAAACGCTGCATGGTCGTACTCTCTCCTGCACTCCATATAATCCATTGTTGATCTGTTGCTGCCACGAACGTCGCACGCTTGTATGTCATTGTCATGAGACACTCTCACAAACAAAATCACCGTTTAGTAACGCGGCAACGAGGCATGCTTATGGGAAAGTAAATAATCTAACTACTTTTTTCAATAGTAATCCCTTACTTTACTCGTTACTTGCAAAAAGTAATCGGATCACGCGTTACTGCCCAGTTTGCAATAAGAAATATTTCTGTTCTATCTTCCAATGTACACATACACAAAAAACTCAGCAAGGCTTTAGCTGTCAGTTGAGAAAGCATCACGCCAAAAACATCAGTTTAGACATGAGAAACAAGTTTTGATTCTTAGAGAGCACAGTGGAGTAAGAAGTATCATGAGAATAAGACTGGTAGAGGTAAGAAGCAAAAGATTTTAAGCGCTGCCTCCATAAGACTAAAGTGAACTTTACTGATGAGGCCCAAAGTCATGATTTCATCTTGTTGAATGTTTGTGAACTGAAGACCGAGGTCCGTGCCGAAGACGATCAAATCTGGAGGAGATTCGTCAAAGAAGAATGAGCTGGGATTGCTCTGGAGACATGTGTGAGACTTCTGCAGGATGTTATCCAGCAAAAAACGATACGCAATTAACTGTTATCATCAAGGGGGAAATTTTTACATTTGTCATGTTAATCCACAAATTTTATTAATATTTTAAGTAGACATTTTAGAAACATGTTATAAAACTTCATGGAATTTGTTTTTACAGTGCAGTGTGTTCACTGCGGCTCTATCAGATTTTCAAGGGTACTCTGTGTGTGTGTGACATGTCAGTGATGTACTTTCAGGTGTCCGGAGAGTGTTCGTCCAGACACTGTCAGGCCATGTTTGCTGCCATGCAAGAGAGACTGTATTGTCACCCCATACAGTGATTGGAGCCCCTGTCCATCAACGTGTCAGACAGGTAGACTCAATGCACACATTAATGCTTCTAACAATGTTAGAAAGGCCACAAACAGCTAGAATGTGCGTGTGTAAAGCAGGCACCCCAATAATAAAGCACAGAAAATATGCAAATCATTATTTTAGCTGTAGCAGATAAATAATAGCAGCAGCCTCTTCACTGAAAAGGAATATCAGATATCCCAGTTCTCTTGTGAATGTTGTGACATGTTTAATAAATGCCATGGAAATGCAGTGCTTCCAACAAAGGTTCCCAGGGTTAGATCCCCAAGGATGTTACCTAGTGGAGATGGCAAGCAGTGTGGGAGAAGACGTTTGACGGTCCAGTTATTGTTGTTTTTGTTCTTTTTAAGCTAAGGTATGATGAAAAAGGATTGTATAGCTATAGTGAGGGCTATTTCGGTGGAGGCTGACACTTCTGATGTAGCAGCTGCTTGAATTCAATTCAGTTCAGTTTTATTTATAAAGCATCAAATCACAACATCAGTCCCCTCAAGGTGCTTTATATTGAAGAGTCTTTACGTTATATTGCAAGGTAAAGATTCTACAATATAAAGGAACACGTTTCCATGTAAATATGGAAAACCAGAAGCCAAACAAATGAGTCACTCTATTTCATTCAATCTGCACACAATTACAATGTGTCTTTCATCTCTCTTATCCAAGCTTTAATAGAGTGAATGTTCCAGAGACATCTTTGTTGTTTGTTACATTCTCAGATCCTTCGGTCACGTTGAAGTGTGCATTAGGCTTATAAGATGCTTACTTTTAGAAGTAATAGTCCAGCTGCAATGCATCCCAAAACCATTTTCATCCTTAATAAATTATCCAAACTCAATCACTGGAAGCTTTAACCTGATATAGTAATCCTGATAGAAGTGGACTTCCTGTAAAGTCAATTATCTCTAACTGTCAGGTTGTATTGGATACCATAGAGCAGATAATGGAGATGACATTTGAGATTTCACTCAATTATATTAGCCTCTCCTTGAAATGCTGTCTTCTTGTACAGGGTGAGGAATGACATAAGTATGCTAGCTAGGCTAATAAGAAATATTCTCAGAGGACACCAAATACATCCTATCTTTAAAAAACAGCTTTAAACTGTTAGCAGTCGGACGTACCGCCCACGGGACATTGGATGGTTTAGGGGACTAATAGGACTGCTAAGGGGTTAAAGATTCAGGGCATATTGGTAACTTCAGTTTAAAGGATCAGTGTGTTCTCTTGTGGCTTCCCCTAGGCGGTAACACTAAAAAGAAGCAATACAGGAAACGGCTCATCATCCAGTTGCCAGCTAACGGAGGACAGGACTGCCCTGAGGTACTGACCCAGGAAAGAGATTGTGAGACTCCCTCTGTCTGTGAGGGATACAGGTATGGATCCTGTTCAATAAATACGCATTCATGCATGAATTTAAATGCTATTAATATAGTTTAAATCAAATCTCAGACACAAAAATATAAGGAATACTTTTTAGATCAGAGAATAGCATCAAGTCAGTTAAACATCTGGGATGTTGATTTGGTAACTGCATTAAAGGGGCAACAATGAGAAACCCCCAAACAGGAATGGTTTTACACGTGGAGGACATTTTTTCCATCCTCATCATTTCTGTGTTTTTTCACTCAGTGTCAGAAGAGAACCACTTTTGTATCAGTACTAATGTTATGTTGAAATGTGTGTGAAAAAGCCATTCTTAACATGAACAACCGAAATGAACATGGCTCAGGAAAAGGCAGACGACTACTGTGTCTGGTTGGGGGTGAGCGGAGGGAGACGAGACAAAGGACTCATTGTGAAAATCCAGACTACATATTACAAATATTTATTAATTAAAGAAAAGGGTTTGCAAAGAAGAAATGCTCAGCGCATCTTGAGCTGGTTCTACAGTAAGCTGAAGGCTCTGCCTCCTGTTTTGCTTTTAAATATCCCAGGAACCACAAGCGAGCCTGTGGGCTGCGAGAAAAGTGCTCTATTGGGATGATATGGTACTATGAGTTCATAAAGATAGGATGGGGCCTGATTATTTGAGACCTTTAGTCCCCGTCAGCACACTCGCTGCATCATTTTGGATCAACTGAAGGCTTTCCAGGGAGTTTTTAGGAAATCCTGATAATAATGATAAAACAATAAATGCATGAACTAGTTTTTCAGTATAACTTTGAGAAAAGATGATTCTAATTTTACAGATACTCTGCAACGACGAGTGCAATATCTCCAAAATTAGAATCTAAAATTTGAAACAGTCCAGCATAAGATAAGCATTTTTATTGTCAGTGTTGCAGAAGCAATGGATAATAGTGTAGCAGCATAAAGCCAAAATATTATTTACATTATATAAATATAATGTCAGAATTGACTCCAGCATCCCTTACACTGCTGCAGAAGGTCAAGGTAATGCCAGCAAGTGTCTGTCATTTTTATGATCCAGTGCAAAAACCTAGAGGCCATCCAGGTCTTTATATCTTTAAGACATTCCTACAGTTTAACTATATTATGAACACAGGGATAACACACACATATTAATTAAAAGGTGATTATCGTCTGCAAAGCAATGAAAATATATGCTGTGCCTTTGAATGATATTGCACAATCACAGAAATTAATCCACTGTCAGAGGCTACAAGAAGATCATTTGACCTTCACTAAAGCTGTTTCTGTACAGTTATGAATTCTGACTGAAACACTTCAAATAAACTGTTCCTCTGCAGGTGAGCAGTTAACTGGTTTCATACTATTCTTTTATGAAAGTTTGAGATGAAAGGAAAGTTGGAAATTGGTGCAGCTAAGCCACCCGATGGCTTTTTAAGTCATGGATTAATTACTGCCACCGTAAAGGCTCGTGGTATGTAGCCCATTAATATAGATAGATTAATCATATTAATCTGATAACATGTATTATCTGATAATACAATATATTTAAAACCAGTCTAATAAAGTTTGTTAATCCTAACTTCATGTTTATAATAAACAAGCTCCTTCACAAGTTAAAAAAAAAAGTGGGGGGACTTTTTTCACTCAGTACCTGCCAAAAGCTAATATGCAGTGCTGAATATGATGTTTTCTTGTGATGGCCAAATATGAACAAAGTAGACCAGTTCAATTTTCATTCAAGACTCCTCTTATAATGTGTTTTTTGACAGATGGAAAACTCATAAGTGGCGAAGATGTCAATTGGTTCCATGGTCTGTTCGGGAGGGCAGTCCTGGGAATCAGGAGCTCTGTGGGCTAGGTCTGCAGGTTCGAGGTGAGGACAATCTCACACACACACACACACACACACACACACACACACACACACACACACA